AGATGTGTATAAGAGACCACACACACACACACACACATTTAATTTTAATAGAGTACAGTACTACAAATAATATTACTATTTTCAATATTTAAATTAGTTTGTCATTCATTAGTATTATAATTTTATGATTATTATTATTAGTTTAATTTTCCTTATTACATTATTATTATTATTATTATTATTTGTTATGATTGCTAGTATGGTGCAGATGGTAAAGTATATACATATATGACCTTTATACAGCCATTGTGCCATATGTTAATTAGCAAATACACCAAGATCTACAATCTAATTTAAGATACAATACGGCAGATTGGGCTTGCCAAGTTTACTTTGGGTTGGATTCAATAATTTATGTTTATTTGTTTTGCATGATTATAGTTGGAAATATTTTAGGTCAGTCTGAATTCTAAAGACAATGCATGCCATAAGTGTATGCAAATGAACTTGTTATTTGTTTGTTCCCTTTATTATTTAAATACAAAATAGTAGTACACATCTGCGGTATTAACGTATATTTGATGGTATTTAAATTTTAAAAGCAATGAATTCATTAAATATGATTTCTGATTGTTTGCTAATTCTTAACACGATAATAATACTAATAATAACAATAAGAAATAGAATATTTAAAGATGTTTCTTTGATTTATATTCTATTACTGACTGAAATTAGCTTGAAACCCAGGAAAGATGAATATAAACAAATGAGACTATGAATAAGCATTATTATTATTATTATTATTAAGAAAAAAAATGATCCTACATTAAATATAACAGGAATGCAACCTGCTTACTAGTAATTTTTTTTTGTATTTTTTTTTGTATCAGGAAGCTGTAATATATAGATTGTTTGTTTTTTAAAATTTGTTTACTGTTGATGAACAGTGCACAGCATTTGGACATTGTTTGTGCTGACATTTAATCCAGTTTTTAGTGAATCAAATTATATAATTAATATTACATATTAGTTATATAATTAATGTAGCAATGTAGCTGTAATCAATATAGGTGAAAAAAAAAACTGATTTGGATATTTAACCTCAGGAACTATGTATTTTTTGCATCGTTTTATTCAATGATTTAATGACTGGGTGGGTTTTCTTTGAAAAAAGTAACACAATTTTGTTTTCATGCGGTAATACTCTTGTGAGTTGACAATGATACGTTTTATTAGAAAATCAATAGGGCTTTAGTTTCGTATCTTAGATACATTATTGTTCTATCCTGTTGTGACTATATCATCCAGTACAAGATGGTACCCCCATCATAGTATACCATATCATACCCATTTTGTTTTATTGTGGTCATAATAATACGCCATATGCTATCGCATCATGCGACCTTGATGCTAAATTCCATCATTAATATTCATGAACGAAAGCCTTGTATTTCAATCGACTTGTTTACAGGTCTTTCTGCTGTGTTTTTTTTTTCTTTTATCGGTTTTTCTGGAGGTTATCGCAATAGAATAACTCTCTATAGTCACTCAAGTAATTTATGTATACTGTATTTGCTATAGGCTTTGATTAATTTAGTCTAAAATATTTTACATTTCTTTATTCATTCATTTCCTAAATGGGGTGAATCTTTGAATACATAATTTAATTTTTTTTTTATACAGCATTATCAATTGAATCAATTTTGTGTGCGTGAAATACTTTTTTTTGTTAGAATGAAACACAGAATTACAAAAATGTTATTATATGCAATGTAGTTCAATTCAATTACTAGGCTTTGCAGCAGGTATATTAGGTAGTACTGTACATAAATCCATTCAACGAAGGAAATAGAACGCTGTTATTTGCGTACAAACAAAATACTCAACACTCAAAAAAGGTAAATTCATACAAAATATAAAATCATCATTTGAACGCAGAAAGCAAAGAACACAGAATACAGTACTGACATAAGTGAAAGCAGCATTTGAGCTGCTTTTTTGCGCATTACAAAACACAACATGAAGACATGACCAATATACAACACCTTCGTTGCTTTCACAAAGATAATAAGGCAAGACTTTTTTTATACCTTGTCTAGTGAACTGGCCGAATGCAAGTATTGATGACTTCGAACAAAAATAAAATTTTATTTTTGGCCAATTAGCGCACCCGCCACCACAGAAAATGGAAATTTCAGAAAAAAATTAAAGTTAAAAAAAAATTTTTATTACGCCCTCCGCTGCCTTGAAATCTCCAAAGATAAAATATGTATATTTCTTCATAATTATATAAATTTGAAGCATTTAACCGTCCCATTTTACATTCACCAATAAAATTTTATTTTTATTTTTTCCTCCGTCTGGATGTTTTTGGCAAAACTATTTGCTAAATAAGATAACAAAATTTTTTTTTAAATTTTTATTCTGCCCTCCTCCAATGATCTTTAAAAAAATAAGTACACGAAACAAGGAATAAAAAAAGTTTCGCCTAACACACAAACTAACAAAATACTACACTCGATCTACACAAGGAAAAATTTTTCATGGGATGCATGCTAATGTTACTCAGACTTGCTGAGATATTCTGCTGAAATCACCATTGTCTTCACACAAGTGCATTCAAACCTTGCTAAAAGTCGGTAAAAAATTATGCGCAGACAATAAGGATATATGCGATGCCACAGTGAAAAATAAGCTGCACGCCATCAACATGCGCCCAAAAACATGCTCAATATTTTCGCGAGTGTTACGTATCTTTGCGATATCTGTTTTTCTTTCATGGTACACAATGCCCTAAGCATGGTACACATGCTCTTAGACTAGTCTGGGGGCGTGTTATTCCTAATGGGTGTGTCTTCACATGGACGCAACTGATGTGCGGGGTGCTTGCTAAATTGCCACAGTGAAAGATAAGCTTTGCATTATGAATGTTTGCCTAAATCCATGCTTAATATCTTGAGAGTGTTTACATATCCCTGTGATGTCTGTTTTTCTTACATGGTATTCATGGTCTGAGTCTAGTCTCTGGCGTGCTAATGTTAATAGGTGCCTTCACATGGACGCGATGTGCGGGGCACTTGCTAAATTTTTCGCACATGTCACTTATTCATCAGTAAATGAAGCAAACTGAAGTCACCTTTACACAAAATACAAATACAAACAGATAAAAATGCAACAATGAATCTCAAATACATATATAAAAGTTAAAGCACACACTTGAACACACAAAAACAAACACAATGTTATGGGGAAAAAATGTTGATATCTCAATTAAACTTTATACTGTTGCTAAAAGCGGTTTTGTATTAAAGTTTGAATAATAAAATGATGTTTTAAGAGACTGGTAAATATTTACTTATGAGTTCTCATCAGGTGTTTACTTTCACAGGCAATTAATAGTTATAATTATAATAATAATGCACAATTTAACGATGAAAGAGGAAGACCATTTTCAATCATAGTTTAAAGAGGAACTAATTTGAATTATTTTATGAAAAATGTGGAAGAACAGTGATATTTGCATACTTTACAAAAGTTTGTGTTTACATTTTGGGTACAGCTTCCCTTTTGCTTTCATTTTTAAAATGAAACATAACAGAAGACCTAATGTCATTGAACTTTTGGTTTAGTGCATACGGTTTAATGCATACATAACAGCAAAGAGGTCCTGTGTTCAAATCCTGGTTGGTGAAACATAAGAGACAGTTATTATTATATTTGATTATAATAAATCAAATAATAGTATGTTGTACATTCTGTATACTTTGGAATAACTTTTAATATATATGTATAAGTCTTTTCTATAATTTATATAATTTTATATAAAGCGCATAGAGGCACTGTGCAATATGCGCTATATAAATGTAACTTATTATTATTATTATTATTATATAAACATGTATATACATTTGTATATATTATTTGTATGACATATAGATATCTATGTATATGTATGTGTTGTTATATAATTGATTGAAATGGAAAAAATAATTTATGTAGTTGTATGTTATGCAATCTGTATACTTTTGTGTAGCATACCATAACATTTTAAAACATATTTATATATGATATGTATATTTATACGATGCACTATTTAACCTTGTGTGTAGATATTCTATAGTGTATTATGATAGCAATTTTACATCACAATCAGATTATGTAAATTAGTTAGGAAATGCATTTCTAGGCTTTATTTTGAATGTTGCTGTTTCATTTCAAATAAATCACTTTTTATCTCACAATATTTAGCTTTGAATATGAATAATCCAAATGCGGAGAACAAAGGAGAGTCAGAATTGCACATAAAGCAGGAGGTCACATTCATGACGTAAAATGTTCAACATAAGGCTACGGATATCTTTTAAGTTTGTTCTTTTTTTTTTTTTTTTTGCAAACATAGTCGATGGCATGTAATAGAATATTAGCTATCTGCATGATGCAAAATTAAAATATAATTCACAAATATGCATATCTTATTTGCAGTGAAATTCTTTGCATTAAAAATTACTGAAAACATTCTAAAATTTTATAAAATTCTGCAGAGATGAATAATTTGTAATATGCAATGTATTTCTATTTCAAATGATTTTTTTTATATATAAATGGAGATAGAGGCTTACCTGTAGTAGTACAATATTTCAGCTTATAACTCCTAAGTAGTAGCTTTTAGCATCATATCTTATCAACTCATTATGCATACTCTCCTGGTATAACAAAGCATTATTTGCTAGCAGCCATTATTTCCATGTTTTCATCTCGTTTTCCAGCACTTGCGAAGATATTTTTAGGTATCTGCTTAATTCTTGCAATGGATTCCTTCTTCCTTTTCAGTATACTTGTTCATGAATTTCTCATATTCTTGTTCTTTCCTCTCAAACCTTCACTCCTCTTCGTTTTTTTTTATCCTAATCAGGAATGGTAACCTCTCTGTGACAATAGGTGGCGCCATTCACAAATTCCATCCTTACAGAATATGTCCTAGTTGTTTTTTTGCAAGCTTCCTCAAAATATTCTTGGGTATTTTTCAAGTTGGAAGTGGTTTTCGTAAAATGATCCAAGATGGTTTCTGAGATGATTTAAATAATTCAGAGCTTGATGTAGCAGATTTTTACCAGTGTATGAGAAATCACCTGCTCAAAAAATATTTACAATTTTTGGCAAGAAGTGAGAAAAATTCATGCTATTGATATTGAAAAACAATAGATACATAAAATCTCTGTATTATTAATTTTTTGGATTGTTAAAGGGGCTTTCTTAAGTTGAACTGAATTTTCATCCTGCATTAAACCTTTTGTTGTTTTGCAATAAAATATTTGGATCTAAATTCTCTTGTTAAAAGTGTTACAATATACTATATTCGCTATATCTATGTAATGCCACACCACCATACTACTATAAACAATGCCATCTAAAGTAACAACTTGTTTTGGAGCCTCATGTTTCACTATGATGGCCTTATAAAACCTATATACACTGATAATAATAGGAAAATAATAAATATAATACTAGCATATGTAGTACTAGATATATGTTTAGCACAAACAAAAATAAAGTGATTAGTAACTATTGCAATGCACTATTGGTAGTAGGCCTACTCATCTACATATGTAATAAAGATTAAAATAAAATCAGTGTTTTGATATCAATGAAAACTTAATATTGGAACTTTAATTTGTATGAAATGAGCCTGGCACCTTTTGAATTTAATTTTTGAGATTTTTACCATAGATGGTATATTTTTAACTGAAGATGTCAGAATCACCATCTTATTTTACTAGCATTTGAAAAACTTGGCAAATAATGATTCACATAATGATGGTAGGACATATCATAAGATGGCCCCCACCCCCTGGTCAGCAAATGTAGGATACTATATCTATTTAGCCATTTATTAATATATTACTATAACTCTTAAATATTAATTAAGTAATAACAAGATCTCTTGGGTAAATTGCACATGATAATGTACGCGGGGAACACCAGTACTACCCAAAATCAACTACCTGCCTAGAAGAAACAGTATGCAAGCTGCAGTATGTAATTTTACACTTTCAGATCGAAATGGCTAATGTACACTGACGTTTTGCTGCTTAATTTTTTTTTTTGAGGTACAGTGAAACAAGTACAACATGGTTGTTTTACGGTTTTTAGCAGAGAGCGGTAGTCCCAGTTATACAACACCTCAACCATGCTGTATTTGTATATACAGTATATATATATTTCCAGAATATTGTAAATTAAAAGTTGGAAGGTCAAAGGGTAAAAACTTCTGAATAAAAAGATGTTAATCAATGACAATTTTACAATACTAAATAATATATGACTTTAACCTGAACTTGAATAAGAAACAGAAGAAATTTGACCAGTGATTATATAGTTACTATGACATTTGCCCTTATCAGCAAATTACTATTCCATCTGGTTTTAACTATTAATGATCATTAGTATTGGTGATTACGTTATCATATCTGTGCAAAAATATCTACCCATATTAGCGCATTATAGTTTAAGTTACTCATAAATTACATGCATGTGTGAAATATGATGAAAAAAAAAATTAAATGACAAAAATATTCCTTGATTTTAGATCATAAGGTGCGCCTTTTTTTGCGAATGTATTTTTTTAAAGATCATTAGAGCAGGTGTGCTAATTGTCCAAAAATTTTATTAAAAATCATCAATATTGGTTTGCAGCGGGTTCGTGGAGGTATAAAAAATTTGGCCTAATCCTAATCCATGTGAATGATTAGTTAAAATTGTTACATACATAAACATGTTAATAAATAATTACATGGAACAGAGAATACAAATTAGGTATATTATTTATGAATAATCATGATTCTTGTCAGAGCAGGTTGCACTAATTGGCCAAAAATCAAATTTAATTTTTATTTGAAATCATCAATATTGGTGGGCTGTGGGTTTGCGAAACAAGGTATAAACAAGTCTCGCCTAATCCATGTGAATCATGTCGTAATGAAAGATCAGTAAAATTTGTTACAAGCATAAATATATTTATAAATAATTACATGGAACAGAGAATACAAATTAGGTATATTATGTATGAATAATCATGATGCTCATTATGCATGTAGTATCTTAAAATAATTCAAGTATTAAGGGACACTTTCTGTGAGTGCAAAAAGTCAAATCAACATAATTTAACTCCTATTAATTAAGGGGACACTTATTTTTTTTATTGTATCAAAACAACTACAGTGGTCACAAAGTATCAGAAAAAAAAATAATTCAAATTTAAGGGGACAGTTTTTTTGGTCCCAATGGTGTCCCCTTCACAGTGGTTTTACTGTATAACAAACATTTAATATGAAACTTATTTATTTTTAAAATTTTTAAAACCATATGAACCCATTTATTTTGGTGAATATTATATTGGAGTCATATATTATGCACTGAAATTTATGTTAGATATATCATATTTATTACTTTAGGCATAAAGGATTAACAAAAATATAAAACCAAAGTATGTATCATGTTTCTGAAATTACTACACTAATGGTCCCCCTGTGATATCAATTACTGCCGGTATGACTATATTTATTATTGTGAGATATCAAAGGGTAAAATGATTGTTTTTACTAGTAATTTGTCTTTCTTATGATCTGCTGGGAGAAAATGAAATACACAATGAGGGAATTATGTGAATGGGGGGTCAAAGGTCTAGCTAATATTGGATATTGATCCTGGTGTTGATGTTTCATTCTGAACTCTGTATCACAATATGTTGATCAATACTGTATGGGGGGGGGGGGGAACAAAATCAATTATATGTTGATCAATACTGTATGGGGGGGGGGGGAACAAAATACCTATTAATGCTACAAAAAGACAACAAGCATATAGCACTGTAAACTACAGACTTGAATTATTACATTACTGTATCTTGTAAATGAAATGCTAAAGAAATATTCATTTTTATGTTATTTAATTTATTCACTTAATTATGTGAAAAAAATATTGTTTTTGATAATTTATTTAAAATTTGTGAATTTTAAATATTTGATGTATAATCATATAATTTAATTGAATAATAATAATAATAATAATAATAACTTTTATAAATTTACCAATTTAAAATAAATTATCAAAGATGTATGAAACATGCTTTGAGGAATTTGTGTCATTCATATATTATTTTTTTAATTTTTAATTCAATTAAAATAAGCAAGGGAAAAAATAAACAAATAAAAGTAGAATGCTTAGAAAATGTTGAATAACTACTTATTCGAGATCAATGATTATTCGATCCTTTACGGTAGACTGGGGATGGAAAGGATACCAGAATGGAAAGAAAGACTACATCTATAATTGGTGAACATTTACATAAACGGGGACACTTTGTAGGACACTGGTGGGCAAAGTGCATGCTAGCAAAAATCAATTAAACCCGATGTGTGCGACCCACTATAATATCTTGGCTCGGTTTTAAATCGAAAAATTCACTTTGGCCCTCCGACCGATTTTTATCATGCTCACCCCTGTTGCAGGCAGTACTTCTAGTTATGCCATAATATTAGTGCATGCAGATAAATACACACACAATGTTACAGCATACCATCAAGTATTAATTATTACTGAAAGTAGAGAGAAGCAAGAGAAATGCACAGAACAGGATGTGAACCCCAGTGGGGCCAAAGTCTTCTGCGACTCGCAAAAAAATTCATAATATTTACATGTTTCACTGCTTTTATTATCAATTGTATCACAGAAGTCGGTGCCAATGGGTATCACTATGTGTAGCAAAATGAAATTAGATGTGTTAATAACAAAAATTATTGTGTTCCCATGCCCACTGACCCAAAATGTACGAAATTAAGGTTCAGCATTTTTTTTTTTTTTTCCCTTTACTACAACGAAAAATATTTTTTTAATGAACCATAAAGGCTGGAATAGGCCTGTCTTGCTGGACGGTAGGCATTGTGATAGTGTTAAGGTCACAGTTCATCTGCTTATAATTGATTGAATATTATTATCGATTAAGTATTGTTAGTTGATGAATATTTGGTTGATTGATCGATTTATTATCTGATTAAATGGTTGAATTATTGATTGATAAATTAATGACAGAATATTTGATTGATGACTGACAGACTGATAGATTGATTTGTTGAATGGTAAAAAAAATAACATTGCAGAAAACCCAGACTCAGAATTTTACCATCGAATATTCATAGCAACAAAAAAATTACCTCACAAATTGATCTTAAAATAAATAATTTCAGTATAGTTAAAGATAAATATTATTATTATATTGTATATATTAAAGATAAATAGCAATATTTAAGAAGTACAAGCAGGTGAAATAATAAAGCTTTATGTACAATTCAGATGATATAGTATTCAAGAAGCCAAATTTGATGCATGGATTATTCTATTATATCTAAAGGTAAAGTCATTCATAATTGTAGTGAATTAAATGAGCGGGTTGCACACAAAAATATTATGTACTCATGGCTGTTCCATTATTTTCAAGGGATATGTTTTACTTGAAGGTAATCAGAATTTTTTTTAATCAAGTACTGTAACCCAGTCACGAAAAGACTGAAAAAAAATCATGATGGTTAATTTGTATTCATATAGTGATACTATTACATTTTGATTACATTTTGCTTATTTCTGTTATGAAAAGGGAAACCATTTGATATTAATATAAAATTATGAAAATTGTAAAAGTAACAGAAAGTGACAGAAAGTTAAAACTGATTCTCCAGAGCATTCAAAATGTAAATGACTATAAGAAAATACATACTGCAAATACATACAGAATAATTAATTGTTATTTGATGAACAATAATTAGAATATTAATTATAATTAAACAGGTATTTAATAGAAGATCTTCAGGGCAAAAAAATATGATTACAAATGACGAAAGTTATTAATATTAGTTTATTAAACTTATCGCTATCAATATTTTTGTTACTATTATTATTCTTGAAACAACAAATAAATTCATAGGTGCTTATTTCTTCACTGATAGAAAGGTAATGTTCCTGACTATTTATTTAACTTTTATGATCCTATTGATGATATCGTAAAATAAATACAAGAAGCAAATCTAAAAAGACTTGGGTCTTGCCAAAATGGCAAAATGAACTGGTAAAAAACATATCGTTCTTTCAATCTTTGAATAATCTACCATCAAATATTTGTAGCATTTTACATTCACTCCTTGCAAAACTCTGATATAAATTTGCTTCTTGTATTTAATTCCCCATATAATTCTTATTTTCATTTAAGTTTGTTTTGTATTTGTAATATAAAAGTTATCTGGACCCCAAGGAAG